CGTGCGCTCGTCAGAAAGACAGAGACAGAGAGACAGAAAGCGGGAAATCACCCCCTAGGGGGGATGGCCACGCCGCAATCCCTTCTCCTTCATTCTCCTCTGGGATCTTGGGCACGCACGTACACACGCCCGGCATGAGTTTTTGCCACAGGGCGGGCGCCACCACGCCCCTGGCGTGAGTTTTTAAGCCACCGGGTCCAGGAGGCGAACCATGGTCAACTACATGGGAGTCCTGCCCAGTGTTGTTTTTACAGTAGGAAAGAATCTTTTCAGAGCTTCCTGTGCTATGCATCCACCCATCCTGATATGTCCGCTCAGCTCCCAGGCACTGGGACTCTCTGTGGTGCAAACCCTCTATAACCCTAGGGGTGAGGGCCCATAAGCAGCTGATGTCGATCGTTCACTCCCCAAGTTCCTGAACACCTTGGAGGTCTTGGGACTGGGCCAGCCCTGGGGTTCATCAGGAATGAGGCATAAGCCCTGTCCTCCAGGAGAAGCCACAGGCTCAGAAAAGGTGGCTGGGCCAGTGCAGTGGTGCGGGCAATAGGATGTCCACGCAGGGTACCAGAGCCACAGGGGAGGCCCAGGTTTGGATCCCAGGTTGACCTGAACACGCTAGGTATGCCTGCCCGGGTCTGGGATCCTAGCTGGCTGGGAGGTTGTAGGAAGGACCATGGCACAGTGAGGCCCTATCAAGGGTACCTGTTTGTCTCTCCCTCATGAAAGGAAAAACTAAATTGGGGCCAGCAGGTGGCGTGGTGGTTAAGGGTGTTGGACTCCCACAAGGCTGACTGTAGTTCAAGTCCTGGACCTGGCACTTGCTTTCTCATTTTCCCTTCCTCCCTCCCTCTCTCTCTCGCTCTCACTCTGTCCCTCTCTGGTCAAATTAAAATAAATAAAGTTAAATGAAATAATTATTAAAAAGAAAAAAAAAAGTTAAAAAAAAAAAAAAGGAAAACTAGGGCTGGTTTTAGGGGCCAGCCAGATGACCCAGTGGTTAGAGTGGCTAGATCCTAAGTGGCCAGCTGTGAAGTTTGAGTCCTGGGCTTGACAGCTTCAGAAACACACCAGGTGCATGTGCATGTGTGCCCAAAATTCTAAGAGGAGCATGGAGGAGAAGGGAAACAGCAAGGCTATCCCCACCTGGGGGGATACTTTCTCTCTTTCTCTGTCTCTCCCTTTTTCTCTCTCTCTCCCTTTATCTCTCTCTGTTTCCAGAGAGCACATGTGCCCTATTTACAAATTAAAGGAAAAAAAAAAAAGAAAGAAAAAGTGCAGGACCAGCAGTTGGCATAATGGCTATGTCGCTGGACTCCCATGTAGTTGACCACAGTTCATGTCCCGGACCCGGTGGCATAAACTCACGCCGGGCGTGTGTGCGTGCGTGCCCAAGATCCCGAGAGGAGAATGGAGGAGAAGGGGTTGTGGCGGCCCTGGGGGGGTGATTTCTTGCTTTCTGTCTCTCTGTCACTCTCTGTCTGTCTGGTGAGCCCATGCACCCTACAGCAAAAACCTCTCCAAAAAAAAAAAAAAAAAACCAACAGGATGCTCATTGAGGGATAAATGAATGATAAGTAAGCAGGCCAGTCAGGCTGGGTAACCCTGGGGATGCCATTTCCCCAAGAACTTGGTGTTCTTTGTAAAATGAGGATAAACGGGGTCAGCAGGTGGTATAGTGGTTAAGAGCTGGACTCCCACATGGTTGATGGCAGTTGGAGTCCCAGACCTGATGGCTTAAAACTCCCATCAGAGGGGCCAGCAGTTGGCATAATGGCTATGTCGCTGGACTCCCATGTAGTTGACC